CTTAAGACCTCTAAAGCTGTGCACAAATTAGATTCAGAAATAAGTTACTTTAATATAATTTGTTTCCATTGGCATATGGGCCTAGAAGTCTTCATTCCACGTGCCCAAGAAATAGCATAACTAACCCTAGGAAACAAGGTCAATGTCAAATTTGGAGGAAATTATAATGATTGTCGAAAAATTATAAAGATTAATTTATTTTATCTCTTGAGTGAAAGATTCTATCTCCATCAATGTTAAAGTACATGAGCAACCTTTATTCACGCACAATTTTTTAAATATTTTTCTAAGTTCAATCCATAAATTGAAATAATGAATATCATTGATAAGTATTTGATAAGATAGTGAAACACTCTGAACTTTCCATAAAAACAAAATATAATAAATCAAGCAACGTATATCAATACAAACCCAAAAATAAGATAGTAATATACTAACCTATCTATTAATTTTTTATCTAAATATTTGATATTTGTATATTACTATTTAAATTAAGGGTCATATCTCAATATATTAAAATCACTTGTCTTAATTTTTCTTCGACTTAATTCTAACTTTCATAATCGACCTCTAACATTTGGACACCTTCTTTTTACAGATGCAAAATAGTCAATCTCATTTCTTTCATCTTATTCGTACTATTTTCATCTTACCTCATATAACTTGTTTTTAATCATCCCCTAATATACATGCAAATCTAATATTTAAGAAAATTATATTTAAAAAAACATTATGGAGTCGTAATATATTTGGTTTGTTCCATCCGTTTCCTTCACGTTAAACCCGCTAGCTCAAGAGGCACAAAGTTTTCCATCCAAATCCGTAAATACTCATCACTCTTTACCTTCTTTTTTTTTCATCTTCTTCGATTAGCAATTTACGATCATCTTATCCCTCAAAATACCCAAACTACGCTTGTAAAATCAAGGGAAATTGCCTAAATTCTGTTTCATAACAAGAAGAGGAGACCAAATGGAGAAAGCTAAAGCTTTTCTTGAATTAACCCAGGGAGAATCGGACCGGGTTTCGTCTCTTGCCTTTCCTCCTCACCGGCTCGGTACCGAGTGTAGCTTCTATGAGTACTATTCTCTCAGAGGCATCCGGGTTGACCGAATTGAACCGGGTCAAGTTTTTTGCACCTTCAAAGTTCCTCCTCGTCTCACTGTAAGACAAACCCGAATTTTGCCCCTTTTCCCAGTTTGTGTTATGTGTTTGTCATTTTCAATGTTTAAATTTTGATTCTTGAATGTTGTGATAGTTGTATAGAAATATATTATCACAAAATAATGGTTGAAGAGTGTATTAGAGTTATAGTTGATTTGAAGATTAAAGGGGTAGGTTGATAAAGAAGCATTACATAGAAGTTTAGAATTTGAATATTGGGATATATGCAGATGAAGTTTTTAAAATTAAATAGACTGTTTTCTTGTATTTTCTACTGGATTGTTGCTTGGAATGGAAACTTTTTTGGTGTACCTTTGTAGGATAGAGAAGGGAAACTAGCATCTGGTGCCATTGCTAATCTAGTTGATGAAGTTGGGGGTGCGGTAGTCTATGTGGAGGGTCTCCCGATGAATGTATCAGTGGACATGTCGATTTCATTTCTTTCAAGTGCGAAGGCTGGTGTAAGCACTCCTCATTTTTCCTATCTTTTCGATGATTTCATTATTGGTTCATGAATTTTGTGACAATATTTTTATCAGATGTCTGCACCTTTTAGTATGCTCATGCTGTATTTTAGAATTAACAAGGAAAGAAAGAATAATAAGAGGAAATCACAGAAGAAACGAATGAAACGCATAAAGAGGAAGATAGACTGGTTCCACATTCATCACTCACAAGTCAGGCAAATAAAATGCTGAATAATAAAAATAATGAGCTGTGTACCCTACACTACACCTGCTAACAAACTAGCTGACTTTTCAAATGATTATCAGTAGCTAGTTTTGCCTTTATCAGTTTGTCCATCTGTGATGAATATCCCCTCTTTAAGAAAAAATATACTACTATATGGTATGCAACACTGTAGATGGAAAATAGGTCAATCAAATACATCCTTAAGACCAGGTTACTTCCACTAACTTTAGCAATTCTTAAGTACAAAAGAACTCTTCTCCTTGCATTACCCACTGAAATGCAGAGTATCTTTGATCACATGTCAATTGGAAATGGTCATGTCCATTGATACCTTATTAGGCACTAATAAAAATTTAAATTGCTTCACCACATGTAGACTAACAAAATTGTGTATAAACCCACTGTCCGCCGATATAACCAGAGGTGTTTACTTGATCGAGTCCTGAGTTCTGATTATTCTAGGGGGTCTGGAGACTCCATCGAGTACTGCCACTTCTGCGTCCCTAACTCCCTATGTCCTGGACTCCTTAGCCCAAAACTTGTTCATCATCCTTCCAAACCTCTTCATCCATCTTAATCTCTCAGTTCCTTCTTGGCTGACATAGCATTCAATTACTTTGGTTGGCAATTATGTCTTCCGTAACTAACATGGCATTTAACATATTGGTTCTGTTCTTTAGAGACTCCTCGGTGCAATTTTATTGGTTAGAGTAGCTTGGGAGTTTGAAGATATGAAGGTTTAGGCAGTGTTGTAAGGCTTGGTTTGCTGGGCAGAGCTTTGGGTATATGACAGGAGCTTTTTGTTGTATAAGAGTGTTTAGACATGGCATCAATGGATACCTTATGTAATTTGGCTTTTTTTATTGGCATCAATGAGGCTTACTGGGTTCAACATTTTGCCAATGCAATTTAGGGTTAAGTCGAATAAAGCAAGACCCAATTTGAGATTTGTTCAAAGTGAGTTACCTGCAATAGAAATCACAGCATAAGGCTGTCCATGAGAGACTGCTCTTCTATGATTCACCAGTTATCCATCAAAGCATGGCCTCAGTTTTCTTGAGTTCATCAAGGATATGCATCAACGCAAAATCATTTTTTTTGCAATCAGGTACAGTATAAGTTCCAATGAAATGGTCAGATTTCCAATATTCATCCTAGGGTTGGTCCGTTGGTGCCATAGAACTTGGATATTTTTTAACTTTGTCTGGGTAGTAAAGTAAGAACTAGTCAGGATCTGGATAAGTAGAGGACATGGAGGCATTGTTTGGTTGGTTATTTGGAAAGCCGAGTTAGTCAAGAAGTGTGATGTTAAGAACTTGACAGCATATAAGAGATTGGATGTGAGATGTGTTGAGGTATCTTATATTGACATGAGGAATATAATTGTTTCTGCAAAGCAATATAGGGGATAGGACCACCACTTTTTCAGTGGACAGTGAGGATTGAGTGATTAGCAATGGCTCATGAGGTAGGCTTTTAAAATAATCAAATTGTTGCCATCTGAGTAATGCTTGATTGAGTAAATAGAATATTTTTTGTGGTCCTTCCCTAGCTAATGCTTTTCAGCCTTGCCTACTGTATATGCATTTTGTTTGTGCAGGAATATACTCTCAATTTTACCTTTATGTATGTATTTCAATCCTTAAAAGAGGTGCATTTTGTTGTTGGATTACAGGAGCATGGTGCTGCAAGCCACCTCTATATCCCCATTCTTTATAAAACTGTTTTCATGTGCAAGTCATTACTGCACTGACCTTTGAGAGTAGAATTTATATTTAAAACATAAGCTAATTTGAAAATGGTACCAAGTTGCTTGCCTCTCCTGTACAAGTGTCCATCAGTTAGTAGGTAGTGATGTACTTATTGCTGTTTATCCACCCAACGTGAGTTGATATTTTCTCATGTCTTTCTTGGTAAGCCAATACCAAGAATTAATCTAGAAGACTTCTGATAGTTTGCTTCACATCACGTATTTTCCCCTTATTCTCTTCATCCTAGCAGTTCAGTAAGTTAGGGTCTGAACCAACCCAAAGTGGTTTATTCTGCCTTTGATCTCTCCCATATTTCAAGTCGAAAGTTCTTTCTTCTTTATCATCTTTCTAAATGTGCATTCAACCTCTACTTATGGATTACGTCTTTGCGTGGGATATTTGCAGGATGAGTTGGAGATCATTGGTAGAGTCTTGGGTCAGAAAGGAGGATATTCTGGAACAAGTGTACTTGTGAAAAATAAAACGACAGGGGAGCTCATTGCTGAAGGGCGGCATTCATTATTCGGTAAACATGCTAGTAAAATGTAAAATGTGAAGTATTTCTCTGGACCAAGATGCCTGTTTGAGGATGTACTTCAGTTTCCAGCTCCTGGTCCACATGTATGTTTCGTTCGAAAAAGGAAAATCAGTATGGTGCATAGTTTTTCTCTTTTGCTGTGATAACATGTATTGAGCAGCATTATACTTGTGACTTGTGAGGAACAAGTCCAATGTAAATATTTGCTTGTTAATCGAGGCATTTTGTGCTGATTATCATTGCATTTACTATAACTTCATGTATACGGGACAGATATTGAGGATTCTCCTCTATGAGTTTAGGATTGAAGCGTAGTTGATTGATATAAGATTTTATCAACAGTGAGATATACGCTCAAACAAATATTTTGCACGACGAGCAATTGCCATATTATTCATCAAATGTGTAGTACTCCTATAGCCCCATCCTACTGCTTGCTATGTACTTTTGTGGAAAAATAATATTATCCAGGCCAATTTTTACCCAATTCAGATTATATTTATCATCATAATATCAATGTTAGGCGGAACTAAAATAGAATTGTTGGGTTCGAAGGATCAACTCGCCTAAAATTATACTCCCTCTCTCCACCTCTTTCAATTTACAATTTTTCTTTTAAAAAAATTGAAATTTGTGATGCAAAAATTATTTTAGCTAATTTGTGTGACCACTAAAAGAAGAATTTTTATTATTTTTTTCTATTTTAATTTGTTAATCTGATTTTGATTTGAGATGATTTCTACTGATTTCTTAACTAGATATCTCAATTCGAGCCCTAATTAGGTAGAAATCTACTTCCAAATTAGTCAAATTATAATGCATGTGAATTGGGACGGAGAGTTGTTTGGTTCACGTTAAACCCACAGCTTTGCATTTACCTACCATCTTCTCCATTACTCTTTCTCATCATTCATGAGAAAAGCCCAAAAAGTGTAATTTTATTTGGGAGTTTGAGGAGACAGAGCTAGGAGAGAGAATTAATGGAGAAATCACAAGCTTTCCTTGAACTAACCCAGGAAGAATCGGACCGGGTTTCCTCACTTGATTTCCTTCCTCTCCGAACCGGCGCCGAGTTTAGCTTCTACGAGTGTTATGCCCTCAGAGGTATCCGAGTTGATCGGCTTGAATCCGATCGTGTCTTTTGCATATTCAAAGTTCCTCCTCGACTCACGGTATGAAAATCCCCTTCTTCTTTTTTCTACTCGAGTTTCTAGTGCATGGAGATTAAAGCTTCTTTGATGTGAATTGGTAGGATGGAGAAGGAAAATTAGCAGCTGGTGCTATAGCCAATCTTATTGACGCTGTTGGGGCTGGATGTGTCAATGTTGGGGGTCACCCAGTGAATGTATCCGTAGACATGTCAATTTCATTTCATTCAAGTGCGAAGATTGATGTAAGCACTCCTAATTCTTCCCATTCAATGAGTTAATTATTGGTTCATGAATTTTCTGACTTCTGCACTTGTTAGTATGATCATGTTGTATTTCGAAATGAATGAGGAATGAGAAAAGAAAGAAATGAAATGTCTATAGAGCAAGATAGATAGTCATTGATTCAACTCCTCGGGATTTGCTGGTTTGATATGCATCTCAAGTAGGTTTAAGGCACTTGTTTACTCTTTCAGCCTACACCGCCCATCTGTTTGAGTATGGAGTAAAACTTAACCTTTAGCAATGCAAACAGTTGTTCTCTCCAGAAGATGCTTAGGAAAATCCTGTCGCTGTTCGAACACTATAGTGATTGAAGGCCCCTCAGCTTCTAGAATGATATCCATAGTGGCTCTAGCAACTTGAATAGTTATGAGAGGGAGAGAGTAAGTTATAAAATGCCCAATGTGTATACCTATGGACTAACACTACTGTACTGACTTTATCTCCTTGGGTATAGCCGTTTAGGCAATCCCTTGATGAAATTCATGGAAATTTGGAAACTTGACTGGGATTGGAAAATGTTGCAGTTAGTTTCGGCACACCAAACTCTTTCTTTTGCACCCTTCCACACTTCTTCACATTCCTACACTGTGTTTCTCATTTTATGCAATAGAAGATGCTTTTGAACCTTTAAAATGTCACCAGCATTCTTGAATGTCCTTCAGTAAAGAAGAGTAATCACACATTTTACTAGCATAGTTACCAAAGAATGTGCATTCGCCTTTCACTGATGGATTACAGATTTTGTTATATGCATTTTTCTTGGGATATTTGCAGGATGAGTTGGAGATCATCGGTCAAGTCTTAGGTAGGAAAGGAGGTTATTCTGGAACAAGTGTACTTGTGAAAAATAAAGCTACTGGGGAGCTAATTGCTGAGGGGCGGCATTCATTATTTGGTAAATATGCTAGTAAAATGTGACGTAGTATTTATCTAGACCAAAATGCCTCTTTGGTTCTTCTTTTATCAGATAGTTTTCAGATAGCATGTATTGAGCAGCATTGTGCCCGTGAGAAACAGTGCAGTGTAAACATATGCTCATCAATGGAGGTGGATATGTTCTGCTCCTTTTTTTTTGTCGAGAGTTCCATTACATCCATTTGATGATAATGTGTGTGTAATGGTTTATATATATAATCCTCATGGACTCTGTAACTCCATTTAAACTAGAGAAATATTGAAGTAGGAAATCTACACTCAATTTTTTTTTTATCAAAGATGTATTTCATTTGGATATAAGTTCGTCTGTTTGTAGAGAGAACTTGGGCAAATATAGCTCCCTCCATTTGTAGCTAACAAAAGAAGAAAAAAAATCAAGTACCCCTCAAAATGTGTAGAAAAATACAAAATTATGTACCACTAGTAACATTTTGAGAAGAGTTTCGTCAAGGTTGAAATCACAATCACCCTGGTATATTCTTCCAAGAACATACCCTCTGCCATTAGCAGCGAGGAGAACGCCCACATGAACATATAATCATGGCCAACAGCTATGTAACTACTACATCAAGGCTATAGCATTTAAACCTGTGTGAATTACTACTAGTTCAAGACTTCAATAGTCATGCACCGCATGCAGTCACAGGAATGCTCACTATAGTTATAACCCATGAAATACTATGTTATACACACCCAACATATAAAAGCCACTAGAAAGCAATGAAGAAATTGAGAGATTTCTGTACTGGCTTCGTACACATTAATATGCTAATGTCGTTTCCATATTCGGTCAATACACCGTATTACCTCTGCATTAAATTACAAACACAATAGTACAGCTAGATCTCATTTCCACCAGTCACATAAGCTGGAAAGCAGATTTGTTATCTTGAGTAATTCTACTTGAGTGACCAATCTAGTACAACTTTAAACTCTTTGCAACAGAGTGACAGATTAGACCTTCCTAGTAGTGTAGTCCTTTCATGATGAAGGCGAAGACCTAGGTGTAACAGACCTTGAAACAAATCTGGAAGATGCACTAACGCTGCAACTCTTCTTAGAGCTTTTCTTCGGATTAGGAGAGTAACTGCTACGAGAGCAGCTGCTCCTGGAAACGCTTCTTGAATAGCTCCCCTTTGACCACCTAGGTGATGCACTGCATGAGTAGCTTCTCCGATATCGAGGTGAAATGCTCCGAGAAATGGAACGATATCGGTTCCTTCGATAATAGTAACTGTTCGGAGAGTAGTCGCGATAGCGGCTCATTCTTTTGTCACGGACATCTGGAGAGTCCAAAAGATCACGTCTTTCGGGAGAGTAGTCACGGTAGCGGCCTCTTCTATTGTAACGGTCATCTGGAGAATAGGAACGATCACGCAGATGATTGACGGGAGAATAGTGATGGTAACGGCTTCTTCTGTAGTAACGGTCATCTGGAGAGTAGGACCGATCACGCTGACTATATGGGGATAAAGATCGAGAATAAGACCTGCCACGACTATAGTAAGGAGAATAAGGTGATTCTGAGTAGCAGTGGTGTCGACTGTAATATGAAGAGTGGGATCTCTGGCGTCCTCTGTAATAAGAGTATGATCTATGCTCTTGTCGGTAATATGGAGAGTAAGACCTGCTCCTGTAGCTTTCAGATGAGTAACAAGGAGAGCGACTCCTTGAATGAGGAGGATAGTTTCCTGATTCACGACGAACTACATTTACAAGGTGGAAGTTAGAAGACATCACAGACAAATAACCCAGGTCAATTATTGCTTAGGAAAGGATACAATATCATACCGCGAACAGTTCTAAGCCCCAAATATTTTCCTGGAGTAGGTGTTCTACCTCTTCTCCTCCTAGCCTGCATAGGAGACAATTGTCAGACAGCAAATCTAGACTCTGGCGGGTTGATGCAATAAAACAACGTCACGATATAAGTAACCAATGAGAAATGAATAATATGCAACAAGGGCGAGGCTGAATAAAGGAAAAATGAAGGCTACAACCCTCTGGTTTACAGTCTGTTTGCTTGATGTGTTTTGATTTGTTTTTTGGACTTTGGTGAAGAGCTGCTACACACAGCTTCCTTGCTGCCAAAGAAACTCAGGCGAAACAAGCAAACAACTTTCAAACTGATCAAATTACTGAAGCAATATAAGATATTGATACAACTAAGAGCTGATACCAGCAAAAATTGCAAACATAAGATTAAAAAAAAACTGAGCAAATATTCAATAAATTCTACCTTCTCCACAGTGATAACTCTGCCTTCAAGTACTGAGCGATTCAGAGACTTGATGCAGCGATCAGCCTCCTCAACGCTGGACATTGTCACGAAACCAAACCCACGAGATTCGCGGGTCCATGGGTCAAAAACAAGACGAACATCTTCAACCTAACCAGAGAAAAAAAGCATTTAATGATGTTGATATCCCCAACAATATGAATGCACATAGGAGCAAATCGTACGGAGTTCTTTTTTTTTAATAAAGTGCAAAAGCCAACTACAGAGAACGGGAAGGAAACCTTAAGAAGCAACAAACATACCTTTCCCTCAGCAGAAAAATGCTTCTCAACATCTCGCTCTTTAACGCGGGTTGAGAGACCAGTCACATACAAATTGTTCCCTGGGTTCTCAACATCACTTGAATCACAGCTCCTGCCATTATAATAAAGTTAGATAACATGAACTCTAGTTACCAGCATATTAATTGAACACTGCAGACATGTACCTTGACCGACTCCTTGAAACATATCTGGACCTTGAGACAGACTTGCTATATCGATCATATGAAGGTGAGCGAGAATACCTGCAATATAAATGTCATATTTGAACATGACAAGGAATAATGACCATATAAAACCCATATTAAGACCAACAATACCTTGACCTCCTGGAATACGACATCTGCAGTTACCATCAAACAGAATGTTAAGCTTAGGCTAATGATATAAAGGAGAAAGACGATAAAACAGTGTGTTTTCTCACAAACCCAGTAAATATATAGCAAGTAAAACCAAGCAAATCAAGATCACTGATTTGTCAAACAATCCAAAACTAATAGATGCAGACAATATAATTCCTCTAAATCGACTCTGCTCTACTCAGCCTACTCGATCGCAATACCAGAACATCAATTTATCTTTTGAGTCAAACTAAAGGTTCCCTAAATCCCATCTTATATTGCCCTCTATTAATTTGCATTTTACCTTCTATTATCCCAGCAATTATAAAAGTAGAAAGTATAGTTCTCCTTGGTGATAAAAGGATAACAAACTATGCGACACTATCAAAGTTTGAAATTTGTCAAACCAAGCAGACAACAACAATTAGCTACATATAAAATAGAGGCGGATGAAGTACTTAAAACTTATGTATCCTGACATTTATATAAGGATCATAGCACTGAACTAATTGCACTTTAATACTGTATTAGTGAGTTCAAATCTAATAGTATGGCAAGGCATTACACATATGTATATATTTATGCTCCCGTGGAAGTACTGGAACCCCGTCAATGTTTACAGATTTCAAAAGTATTAGCATGAAAATCATTCATTGCTATGTATCATAACCATAAAACAACAAAATCACAAATAAGCTCAAAATCGACAGAGACTGTTTAGCTCTCTATATGTTCTGGGTAAAAAATGAACGGAAGAATCATCTAATCCGCTCAGGTAATAGCAATGCAATTTAAATCAAACATTGATGCCGATCACAAACGCAAATGACATACAATCTCATCAACTCATATCTATAATTTTAGCTAATTCGTATCGAAGAAGAGAACAGAGAGAGAAAAAGAAGACTCACCGTGAAGAGATTATGACGTTGTATCGAAATGCGTCTCTTTCTCTCTCTAATTTGCGAAGGCTCTGGAAATAAAATGAGTGACTCGAATGGGTAGCGTGTTGTGGGGAAAGACTTATATAGCTGTAGCACAAAGAAGTTTCTAGACGAGGGACACGAAATCCTTTTTAATTGGACTTGAATTTGTCACACTAATCCACCAAACCAAAAAAAAAAAATTAAAAAAATTGTTTCATACGTAGATTTGAATATGAGATTATAATAATTTTAAGACTATATTAATATTAATATTTAATTTTACATTGTAATAAATGAATGTACAAGACTGTACAAATCGGACTCTCGATTCTTTATTATTATATGATATGATGATAAAAAACAAAAAGCTTGTTATTTATTTTTTTGATAATTGCTTAGTGAATGGCATTTTTTTGTCGTCGCAACTTATGGATCTTTAGGGAAACAATCTAAACATTCATTTTGATCAATTGGAATATATCTATAGAATACAATTATCGAAATTATAATTATTGAGCTTTTATGTTTGTTTATTTCTAAAAGGTTTTCTATGAAGGGTAAATCACATAAATATGCTATGTTATAAAAATATTTACCATCTATGGCAACAAAATTTTTCTAACTAAATATAACATTTTTTTGGAATTAAGAAAATTGTACAGTCTTTGCCTCTTTCTCAGCCCTTTTTTCTCTTCTTCTTTTTACTCTTCTGCTTATTCGTCTCTTTCTCTGACACTATTTTGCTTCCTCCTTTTTTTTTTCCTCTTCTTCTTTGAAATTTTCATTCAAATAACTATCCTCAAATCAGTTTTTTTCCCATATTTCACTATTTTTATCCAAAAACAAGATGAAAAGAGGAATAGAAAGACCGAAAATTTGTACAAAATCATGTTTTTAAGCAGAAATTTTAAATCTCTAAAATTACAGAAGCAAGAGTTCACCATTGATGGTCATTATAAAGCTTCAAATTTTGAATTCATTATTTGAATTTTACGAATTTGTGATTAGTTTGGATAGGTAGTTCGTACAAATAATTGAAAATGTCATTTGGAGTTTGTATCTCAATTTTAAGAGGGTTTGGTTTAGTTTATAATTGATTTTAGGAGAAATATTAGATTGAAACTCGAAAAAGGTGAAGTTTATGGAACTGTATCGCAATTGTATTAAAGTTGTATTAGATATGTTTCATAATTGTATTAAAATCATGAACAATACATTTATAATACATATTACAAACTTCTCTCCTTTTTTAGTGATATCAACCAAAATAATTTAAGTAACAAATTTGTTATACATTTATAACATAGGCATAATACATATTACAAATGTTCGAGATACAAACCAAAATAATTTATAAGACACATATAATACATATTTTATTCATGAATAATACAAGTTTAATTCAGTCTATAGATTATTGTCTTGACTTTCGTTAGTTACATTTTGCATTGCTAATTTTCTTTTCTAATTCAACTTTAATATTATGTAATACACTTTTAACACAAATTTAATTCATTTTGTAGTTTATTATTTGTTACTATTAGATTACTTGTTTAATTCATTATTGATTTAAGTTTAATTCACTCTATAGACCATTGTTTGTGTTTCATTAGTTATATTTTTTTATCCATGCTTAATTCTCTCTTCTAATTCAACTTTAATATTTGTGTAATGCACTTTTAATACAAGTTAATTCATTTTGCAGTTTATTGGTTGATTTGTTATGATTGAATTACTTGTTTAATTCATTGTTGATACAAGTTTTATTCAATTTACAATAATGCTCTTTCGTTTGCTACATTTTGCATTCATGTTTAATTCACTTCTAATTCAACTTTAATATGTGTGTAATACATTTTTAATTCAAGTTTAATTCATTTGACAGTTTATTATGTCTCTTCATTTGTTACGATTAAATTACTTGTCTAATTAATTATTGATACAAGTTTTATGCAGTCTACGAATCATTGACTCCTCTTTCGTTTGCGATTAGTTTGGATAGGTTGTTCCTACAAATAATTGAAAATTGAATTAAAATCATGAACAATACATTTATAATACATATTTCAAATATATCATCTTCTTATATAATTCAAAATAATTTATAAGATACATCTAATACATGTTTTATTCACGAATAATGATATATGTTCAATTCAGTTTATAGAACATTGTCTTGTCTTTCGTTAGTTACGTTTTCAATTCATTTTTAATTCTCTCTTCTAATTCAACTTTAATACTATGTAATACAATTTTAATTCAAATTTAATTCATTTTGAAGTTTTTTGATTTATTTGTTACTATTGGATACTTATTTAATTCATTATTGATATAACTCATAAGTTTAATTCAGTTTATAGATCATTATCATGTCTTTCGTTAGTTACATTTTTCATTCATTCTTAATTCTCTCTTTTAATTCAACTTTAATACTATGTAATACAATTTTAATGCAAACTTAATTCATTTCGCAGTTTTTTAATTTATTTGGTACTATTGGATACTTCTTTAATTCATTATTGATACAAGTTTAATTAACTCTAGAGATCATTGTCTTGTCTTTCGTTAGTTACGTTTTCCATTCATTCTTAATTCTCTCTTCTTATTCAACTTTAATACTGTGTAATACAATTTTAATGCAAATTTAATTCATTTTGCAGTTTTTTGATTTATTTGTTACTATTGGATACTTGTTTAATTCATTATTGATACATGTTTAATTTACTAAATAGGTCAATGTCTACTCTTTCATTAGTTACATGTTTTTAGTCATGCTTAATTCTCTCTTCTAACTCAACTTTAATATTTGTGTAATACACTTTTAAATACAATTTTAATTCATTTTGCAATTAATTGGTTGATTTGTTACGATTGGATTACTTGTTTAATTCATTATTGATACAAGTTTTTTTCAATTTATATGCAGATCAAAGAATGCTCTTTTGTTTGCTACATTTTGCATTCATATTTGATTCTCTTATAATAATTCAACTTTAATATGTTTGTAATACATTTTTAATTCAAGTTTAATTCATTTTGCAGTTTTTTATGTCTTTTTATTTGTTACGATTAAATTACTTGTCTAATTAATTATTGATACAAGTTTTATTCAGTCTAAAATCATTGACTACTCTACGGAAAAAAAGAGGAAAAAGAGCAATAGTAAAAAAGGGAGAAAGAGCAACAAAAAAGAAAGGAAGGGAGAATGAATAACAGAAAGAAAAAAAAGAAAGAAAGAAAGAAAGGAAGGGAGAAAGAGTGAGACAGATAAAAGAGAGAAATTAATGAAGTTGTTATAAATGGTAATAATTAAAGAGTATGTTTAAAATAAGTAATTATTTTTTAAAAGGAATCCACTCAAGTAATTAATCCTTCTATGAATCTGTAGTGGACTAAAGCCCAAGACAACCCAAGGCCTTTTTCGAAGCAGACCCAATTGATTTATGGGCCAAAGTAGCCCAAAATCAAAATAATGGCGGGAATTTATTTTATTTTCTGACATTTCATTTCCCGCCAATAGCGAGCCCTAAATTCTCGAGCACACTTTCCCAGCAGCTATATAAACCCTAACCCCTTTTTCACACTCATTTTCGCTCTATTTTTCATTCAGACACCTCTGAATTCCCTCCTTCCCCATTTCAAAACCCTAACCCTAGTTTCTCGTAGAGAAAAAAATGTTGGAACTACGTCTTGTTCAGGGAAGTCTGCTCAAGAAAGTTCTAGAATCGATCAAGGATCTGGTGAACGATGCGAACTTTGATTGTTCCGCCACTGGATTCTCTCTGCAAGCCATGGACTCCAGTCACGTGGCTCTGGTGGCGCTACTGCTCCGATCTGAGGGCTTTGAGCACTACCGCTGTGACCGGAACATTTCAATGGGCATGAACCTTACTAACATGGCGAAAATGCTCAAATGTGCTGGAAATGATGACATCATCACCATCAAGGCTGACGATGGCAGTGACACTGTAACTTTCATGTTTGAAAGCCCCAGTAAGTTCCGAAGCTAGTTTTTGTATTTCCAAAATTATAAATGGGATCTAGAGACTGTAACATCTGATATATATAGTTGAAATTGATACCACCTGGTCTCGAAATATTTGACACTTTTTGCTTGTGATTACTTTAATTAGCATGTCAACTGTGAGGAAAATTGAAGCTAACAGTACTTCGGAATTTGGACATAGTGTTCAATCCTTAATTATAAATATGAGAGCAATCGCAGCTAATAGTATTTTGGAGTTTGGACATAGTGTTTGAATCTAAATTATGAATCTTAGAAATGATTACTTCACTGTTTATAGACAAATGAAATAATTTAAACTAGTTTAATTTTGATTGAAATTGGTATAAATGGGATTGAGTCATGTATCAAGCTGATTTTTTGTTTTTGATTTTGTGATTTGATTCTGAATATGGATTCAGTCTCTCTTACTATGGTCTAGTTCTAACTTATTTGCATGACTGTAATGTATCTCAGCCCAAGACAAGATTGCTGATTTTGAGATGAAGTTAATGGACATTGACAGTGAGCATCTTGGGATTCCTGAAGCAGAGTACCATGCTATTGTTAGAATGCCTTCGGCTGAGTTTGGTAGAATTTGCAAAGACCTTAGCAGCATTGGAGATACAGGTGCAATTTGCCTCATGATAGCTGTGACTTCAGTAAATTTTCTAATGGTGACTATACATTAACATTCATTTCAATTGATTGTTGCAGTTGTTATTTCGGTGACAAAGGAAGGTGTAAAATTCTCAACCAGAGGTGACATTGGTACTGCAAATATTGTTTGCAGGCAAAATACAACTGTTGACAAGGTAGATTGTTTTTGCTTAATGTGCTTATTGTTCTTGATTAATTCTTGTGTCTGATGTATGACTTGTTTGTTTTAAATTGGCAGCCTGAAGAAGCCACTGTTATAGAGATGAATGAGCCAGTGTCATTGACATTTGCCCTAAGATACTTGAACTCCTTTACAAAAGCATCTCCATTGTCGAACACAGTGACCATCAGCTTGTCTTCAGAGCTTCCTGTTGTTGTTGAGTACAAGATTGCTGAGATGGGCTATGTAAGGTATTACCTGGCACCTAAGATAGAAGAGGATGAAGAGGAAACGAAGCCTTGATTTTATGTTTTTGTTTTCTTATGGTGTAGGCTCATTTGAGTCTTTCAGGCAAGCAATATGTAGCTTTAGCTTAGACTGGCAAGACAAATTTTCAAATTTGTGTTCAATGAAATCATGTATTTTCCTCTTTTGGGGGGTTTTCCTTCTCTTATCTGATGTGGTGTTAAAATGTCTTATACTTGAATTTACATAAAGCCTTTTGTTTTTCTAATGCTGCTTCAAATAAAGTTGTCTGAGTGAAGAGGGATATTGGTTATTGAGAATCTGAAATGCTTAATTGCTGTTAAATAGTTGATTTATGAATCTATACCTGGTTAATCCCAAGCACTGCCTTACCTAAAACTCTTTGTTCTTCTACAATAAAGATGAAATTTACAAGGCTAACAAGTTGTTTTGAATAATTAATATCTTGAAATTTTACCTGCATTAGTCTCACAGGTCATGTGTTAGAATTATTAAAGGAGCAAGAAAATTATTAATGTGGAAGTTTCCGTTTAGGAGTGAACAGTGAACAGAATTAAATCCTATTTGCATAGATGCAAAGTCGAGTGAAAAACTAGAGCCAACTTGGTCCAACCAAGTGCTGCCAATTAAATAACATTAGTCATTGATTAAGATAATTTGATTTTTGTTTGTTTGTCATAGCAATAGTAAAGTGGAAGTCATTACTGTAAAAACGTGCAATACGCAAAGGCCAAATCATCCTTTATGCTTGTAAGATCAAAACCACTGTTAAGTTGCAAAAAATACTCAAATAATTTATGATTTGCACTTCAAGTTGATCTTCTACAAATGTACCTAGATACAGAATTTTTAGATGTAAATACTACTACACAGAACAAACAAGCTCATCTCCCAAACTGCAATCATTAGTACAAAGCTAGAAGACACTGTAGCATTTACAAATGTAATGCACAGTGGGAAGAATGTTCAAAACTGCAGCTGTTTTGCCGCAAACTGAAAGAGATAGTGCCACTGCTAAATGGAAGCAACAGGAAGAATGCCCAAAAAAAGAATTCTGATGAAAAAAGATCAGTTCCTCCACTTTTCACCAGTATAAACTGCTTGATCACCAAGCTCTTCTTCGATTCTAAGCAACTGCAAAATAAACAATAAGTCTTACAAATTAGAAATAGGGAAAAGGAAAAAAAAAATATGTAAAAGGAGTGTCATGTTCAAGGGAAACATCTATTTTTATAGAAGTATCCTTTGAAGAGTCAAAGTACAATAAGAGCATGGCAGAGCAGAATGATGTGCCATTAAAGGGAAGGCTAAACCTATAAAAATTGAAAGCAGTCCATGAATGCATAGATAGGCTAGCAAAACACCTGGTTGTACTTTGCAAGTCGTTCTCCTCGGCAAGGGGCACCAGCTTTAATTTGACTAGTAGCTAAGCCAACAGATAAATCAGATATGAAACTGTCTTCAGTTTCACCACTTCTTTGAGATATCACAACCCCCCATTGGGCATCCTTGGCCATCTTGACAACTTCAATGGCTTCCGTTACTGTACCAATCTGATTAACCTGTATCCCAGCCAGTCCATGCCATCAGAGAGTATTTTACATCAGTACCATATGTAACTGACATTTCCAGACAAGATGGAGACTCATATCTATTCAATAGGTTTGAGCTACAAAGGAAAGGATACTTTCCAATTCAACCAAGGATTTATGATGCTATCAAGGATGATTGACAGAGAAAATCTGAGAACCTAATAGTCAAGAAAGTATCAGAATTCCTGGAAGTAATCAAAATGGCATATTTTACAAGGATCTCAAATCACAAATATAAGGCAGTGGTTCAGAAGTTAAAATAGTGCAAATGTTGGTTTGACATTTTTGCCATCAGATGGACCTTGACAATTGTGGAGGAACAAGTACTCCTCCAGAGTTGGAACAAATTACAACAGAAGAGCAATCTCCAATGGCATGTAAAGCCTTCAGGGATTCTTGTCCACCAATAGTGGTGATGATGAAACAAAGGCCCGGGAGTTGTACATCTCAATAGAGAAAAGAAGTAAACACAAAGAACTGAATGTTAACTAATGAGAAGCAAAATGTTACAGAGATAGTGGGTGCAACCGTGCAATGGTTCCAGAATCCAGTGTGCAATGTTGGTTATAGGTGAGGATTACTCTGCTTACTGAGTCCCCATTTTTTTCTTTCGTTTCTTTTTTTTGGGGGGTGGGATGGAGGAGTGGTGGTAATCTGATCCATTGTCGGTAGAATGATGAGGTTGGGTTCAAAGATGAGTTATGTTTTCGAGATAAAACTAAAACTACAAAAAAAAAATAGTTTAATGTTGGATCACTAACCTAGGTATAAGAGCCTGCCGGACATCAATTTTCAAATTCAAGAACTAATCTAACTCTAAATCATATTGTAGGCTAAACAATTAAAATGTTACACTATTGGGGAAGATTCTTTGAGTTTCTAGAACGGCAAATACATAAGATGCTGAAAATCTAGTTCAATCCAAGAAAGCGAAGGGGAAGGGGAGCTTAATTATGCCAAGGGAAAACCAGAATACAGTCAAACCACACAAAATCCTGAATGATCATATCATGTGTTGAGTTGCCAGCATATCCTTTTTTGCAGATACGATTGATTGGTTAGAAAGATATATTTGCAAAGACCTATGTTTTTTCTGTTTTATTAAATCAACTGCTTTCAGTAATATCACAACAAGTACATGTCCCTTCACAAAATAAAGATTTAATCTCCAAAACCTTCAACCAACAATCTATGTGATATGGCTTATCCTTTTTTTAAAGCAAGGGTATATCGCAAGAGAGCTCTTCTGTAGAGGATGTTTTCTTCCTTTTGTGCATCAAATTGACATGTTCACTACAATGTTATTGTTTCTACTCTTTTTGGGTGGGAAATTTTCATCGTATGCTCCTTGTTTCTAGCTAATCGTACCTGTGCCATGGACAGAGGAATAATCTTTGCCCTTGATCAGTCACAATTTGAACCAGGAACCTCTCTCTCTTGAATTATGACCATCTTTTTTTCAGGATAGAGAGAAAGAGGTCTACTGGCGCAGGATGGCCGCTGACCAAGGACAAAAGTTTGTTTCAAAGAAAGATGCAAAGTACCAGCAAATGTCAGTAGGTACCTTGAGAAGAAGGGAATTGCACGACTTCTCTTGTATGGCTCTCTCGATCCGTTTAGGATTTGACATTATTAAGTCACCTCCTACCACCTGCAGCAAGCAATTCATGTTTGACACATGATAGGACACTCAATAAATATGACAGGACTTTAAACAAATAGCAAGGATCATTATAAATGTAAGTGTATGGGCGGAAGTTCATCAGGGATGATGTTAATCACATGATCAAATCGCCAGGGAGAATCCAGACAAACCTGGCATATTCCAAGACCCGAAAAGTACTTGACATGCTCCCAGTCCTCCTTGTCAAATGGATCTTCAATTGATGCTATGGGGTAGTCTATAGGGAGAGAAAAGGAAAAAGTAATGATGAGAATGTGTCGAATAACAGAAAACTCACATCACATAATCAATATATAGCAAAGTACCTGCGCACAGTTCTTTGTACATATCAATCATATCCTGTCCTGATTTAAAATTTTGTCCAGATTTATTTGGAGTTTTAAAATCTAGATCATATTTTGTACCTACATTTGAAACAGCGCAAGTCAGTTTGTCAGTAATGAGAATATAAATATCTCCCACATAACTATTTTGCATCTTCTGGATGCCATGATTGGAATCAATTACTTCATCTAAAAATATATAAACAAATCACACAACCAAAGAGATGTATCATTACACCATTTCCACCTAACCTACTACTTGCAGAACACTAAACACAAATCACAAATTTAGTGAATAAGTGGATTCCAGAAAATATTATCCTCTCACTCAATCCTGATTAATCTTTCATGTATGTGAGCATGGATTTAATGCATTATCAACTGAAGACTTTCCCAGCTATCTATGACAAAATATCATATGATTATACTCATCTACAATCAGTAAGATTTTGAACTAAAGCAAATATATCACCTATGCAAAACTCAGTGGCAGCAACACCAATTGCTATCTTTATTTTCTCATTGTATCCAGTTCTCCCAATAGCCTTTTGAACAAGGTCCAAGCCATCTCTTAAGCTGCAAATGCAATATTCAGGGTCAACAGTTTCATCGTGAAACATAAAACAAAGAAGTCAAAAACTTGCCTGGAGATGTTGGGAGTAAAACCGCCGTCTTCACCAACATTACATCCATGTGCACCATATGTCTCTGTAATAACTGCCTGCCTTTTAAACATAAGCAACTGATTTTTTTTCTTTTCTGATAAAGTAATTGAGTTTATTGATGGCATCCAGGGGGATACAAGAAACAGTACAAAAACAGGATTAACTCCTAGACAAAATTGAATGAGCTAATGAAGTCTACTAACAAATTTATATCATTTACAGCATTCACTTTTCTTCAGCAGAAAAGATTCAAAAGACGATTTGCTTTGATTCTAAGACTGGAAGTGGACTCTCCTTCAAAGCATCTCAAGTTTCTTTCCAATTGTAAGCAAAGATTATTGATACAAACACTTAAAACATAAACTAGAATTAAGAAATATTAATTTAGATAACATGCTTTTACAAGAAAATTTTACACTGTAACTGAGTAGTAACTGGCAGAAGAAAAAATGGACCACTACACCTGTAGAACCCCAACTCCGAATTCTTCCGAGTAGTATCACATGTGGATATCATAGAAGGGTATCTGATATGCCAGCATGTACAGGCTGCAACTTATAAACTTTGGGCAAACAGAAATTATTTCACCATTAAATTTTATCACTACTGTTGTTTCCTTTACTTTAGTTATCTTTACTACTTTTGTTGTCAATACTTTAATTTCTTAGATATTTTCACCATAGCTTGTTTTAGTCTAGTATTTTTGAAATCTGTTTTGGAAAAAACCTTCCTTGAGCTGAGGGTCTATCGGAAACACCCTCTCTACCCCCACAAAGGTAGGGGTAAGGTCTGCGTACATCCCACCCTTTACAAACTGGGTATATTATTGTATGGCTAACAGAAATTCTGCACAAATTGGTGGATACTATTCCAGGATTAAGAGAAAATTCATAGATGATATCAGTTGTGCTAGCAAATACTGTGTATCCACAAAATAAAAAAGCATGTCTTCACTTTTCTGTGAAGTAGAATTTAGAAGTGCACTTGACTTGACCGGTGTCTTTTGTCTACAGAAAATATTTGGAATATTTGAAAAGAACTTTTCAAATAAGCGTATGTTTTATAATTTGGTCCATTAATTCAACTTCAACTTTAAATAGAGAGTTTTTAAGTTTGAAAAACTGGTTTGATAACTAATGCCAGCAGGTGAAATAGTGGTTTCCAAAAATACTTCTAACTTTTTTCCAAGTGAAATTCATGTCCAAACACAACTTCCAAATACCCTCGAAACTTCAACTTCATAAAATTATTCTTTTCAAACTTAAACCAAATATTGTTCAAGAATTCTGGTGTAAACGTGAGAAGACATAAGCCTAATAAGACAAATGTACTTTGTGTAATCAGTTGATGAGCAGTTCAAACTTCCTTCATGTGGCAGAGATGGACAATCAGATAACAGGTTAACAAATATTTTAGTTTGAATTAATTCACCTTCAAATGATGATAGGTCTCCGAACCCATTTGTAAAGCCTCCTCAAATGTGTTTGATCCCACTGGAAGAATCATTATCTCCTGTGGAAGTTTAATATCAAATTTCAGATATAATTAACAATTTACAACATTATGGGCTCAAAATAGAGATGCCATATCAAGATGCAAAACATTGAAGAATTTGATAGAACATAGTGGCAAAGTAGCTCAAAGAAGTATCTATGAAGAGAAGTGAAAGTGGAAATGTATTAGGTAATAAGTTAGAATTCATCATTCTAAGCGGACATAGATCTTATAACCTTCATCTAAAGTTGCTTTTGGTCATTGGAAGTGACTACTTATGATAAGCAGAGACTGGACAGTTCTATAATTCTTTAAATCAGACAACAAAAGTAATTTTTATATGTATCTTAAACTCTCTTATGTAAATGTCAGCAACTATTCTACATGTCAAAAATGGTGCAAGTGCAAGACCAAGAAAAACAAAAAGATTTTAGGTGAACTGGGGAGAGAATCAAAGAAAAAGAAAACATGTCAGTATCATTAACCCAAAACCAATGTATGATTTTTCTCAACAAAACTTGATGAAAAAATAGCATTTCACTGGCTAGTTCTTCTTGCTCTTGGCAGTAGGTACTATTTCAAAGATAATGAGTCAACACCACTATGAAGAACTTGGCAGCGATCATTGTGCAGGTTGCAATATTCTAGGCAGAATTACATTAGACTGCAGGTTTACCTTAATAGCCAAGTTGTTTCCAGCATGTTTTCCTCCACTTATGAGAGTAAAGACCGGAACAGGAAGAAGCGGGCTTGTTTGACCAGAAAGATCAGCAATGTGTTTGTGAAGAGAAACCTGAAGTTCTTCGACTGATAAGCAGCCTAATCCAGTGAAGATTATCATGTTAGTAATATAACTGAGAAAGTATGCTTGCCTCTTTTTCAGCAGCTCCAGCTTTGCAAGCAGCTATGGAGACAGCTAAAATAGCATTCGCTCCAAGTTCACTCTGTCACAGTGGACAAAGGAAAAAGTCAATCAGCATGGAAGTTGTTATGTCCAGAAAATGGAACATTATCAAACTTGCAGATGTTGACAAATGAGGAACTTGAGAACAGGTCAATTACAAAGTCAAACTATCATCATTGCAAGAAAATACTTTCTAGTACACATCACAAGAATGGTGCGAAAAACAGGTACACTTGGAGCCAGAGTGTAGAGCTACTTTTCTAAAGCCAATGATAGATATCTTCTTAACCATAGTACACGCAGATACAAAAAGGACAAAACTATAACAAATAGGACGGAAAGAAATGCATATGCTCACTAAAGGGAGCCTAATCAACTATGGTCAACAGAAAGGATACTAAAATTGTATTGTTCATACTATGTTCACGAATTTTGGTGAACAGTAAAAGAAGAAAAAACTCTTGTGAAAGAACTAAACAAGTGGATATGACGGAAGAGAATGGCAAAGATAGGCAAAGCTTCAGTTGCCTCTAGGCAAAACATCTCCAACTCCAGGCTCCACAAAATTTATCTTTCAACATAGCAATTCTTGTTTAACACTTTCCTGCAACCCATCAAGTCCAGAAAATATGTATGCTAGTTGCAAGATGACAATTTTAAGACAACATAAACTGTGCAGGTAGTCTGAAGTAGCTAGCATCTATGTATTAGGAGCTTGTTTGGATTGGCTTTTGGCTTATAAGCCAAAATTCATAAGTTAGAAATCCAAACTTATAACTTTTGACTTATTTTTATCTTTTTAGCTTAAAATCAAGAGCTTCTAAGCACTTCTTAAATTTACCCAAACACTAAAGAAGTGCTTAAAAGCACTTAAAATAAGCCAATCCAAACAGGCTCTAAGTTCCATATTCATAAACTATGCAGGAAATTGAAAACATGTAGAGCCACTCACATTCAGACGATAACCTAAACAAATGAGTACCTAATTGTTTGAACATTTATACCTTATTTTCTGTTTTGTCCAAGTCTATCATGACCTGGTCAATCTGAGATTGAAGAGTTGGATCCATACCAACCAATGCTACTGAAATTTTCTCATTAATATTCTTGACAGCTCTATTCACACTATTTCCAAGATAAGTTCCTTTTTCTCCATCACGCAGTTCAATCGCCTCATACCTGATATTTTAGAACAAAAATCATTACACCATTTGCTTTATCTCCAATATAAATTGCAGTGGCTAAGTAAATGTTCATATACAAATCTGCAACAAGCACAAAAAAGACAAATAACACGGAGAGGCTGGATAATGTTTGTATTTTTCATCACCGCACTTCCAACCTCTATTTAGTAGTATCTTTTTGTTTTTTTTTGCTTTTAACAGATAGTTCTTATTGAGAAGTAAAAATGAGATATACACAGAATTAGAATCTGAATTCTGAATTAAGACTAGAAAGTACCAACTACCAAGAGCCCTGTCATTTCAGTCACATATATAAAAACTTTTTAGCAAAGATGAAAAGGGAACAAAAAACTCTTGCATGCATCACAGAAAATTGTTGATGAAAAAAAGACAAATCAAGGGGCCTTTGCTTTTAAGTTTCAACCTAAACAATTATTCATAAGAAAAACAAAATGGTCTTTGCACGCATCAAAAAAATGGCATTTGCACTTGATTAAGAAAAAGGCATTTACCCGCATCAAACAATCATTATCGAGAAAAGAATATTTCTCTCCATCTGGGGACCTGAATATTACAGGATGGATGTAGAAGATTCATATAGTTGAGTCCGAGAGGGGAAGGCTGAGAGGTTGAGGGCCTTGAGAAAAAGGAGAAACCATATGGATATCTCAGATAATTCATTAACTGCGAACTTGCTGAAAAAATCTTCTCTCACCATGGTGAGTAGGATTAAGCTTACAAGATTTACCTAGAAATTCATTTCAAACAATATTGTTAAATGTGTCTTTTCGCAACCTGTGCTAGAGAGGTCACATTGTGAATTAGTCGAGGAGCACACAAGTTGGACCGGACGCCACCCACATACACACACACACTGTTATATGCCTAATTAGCCAGAAGGGTACAAAAGTCACTTCCAGTCAATTTTGTTAGGCAATTAAGTCATTAGATTCCAGTTGTGAGTTGAAGCAGTGAAGGGAAAAGTAGTTAGAGATTACTTGATCCGAGTTTAGCTATTAATTCAGTTGTATCAGATCATAAGGATTTCATTGAAAATATTTTACAGATTCTCTTCTACTTTCTCTCTAAGTGTGCTCACTTGCAACTCTATTCAAGAGCTTTTCTTTCATAAGTTCTTTAGGAATTGCATAGCTAATCTCTGTCTAATCACAAGGCACTGAAAAGCTGTAACACACACACGTTTATAGAAGGATAGATAAGAATCATATAGCCAACACCAACTGATCTGTGGGATTGAGCAATAGTTGATTGATAAAATTACTTGAGTTCAACAGAAGATCAGATTTGCGAAGAGTGTTAAGGCATGAATAATTTCATGGAACTTGAAATTTGTGACTACAAACAAAAAGAGAAAGAAAAAAACCGCTTTAAAGAAAAGAAGGAAAGAAGACAATATACATTCTCTAAGAAGCACACATAAAATAAGATGGTCTTTGCATGCATCAAAGACGTTTTTGTTGTTGTTGTTTAAACGAAAACAAGGCATGTGCACACATCAAACAATTTTATGAAGAAAAGAGCATTTCCCTCAGTATGGTGACTTTTAGGACATAGATTACTTGAGTTACCTTGTATGATGTAATTGACTTGAATATAATAGAATGGACTCAGAAGATTAATGTCGCCAGGTCCCCAAGGGAAAGGCGTAGGGGTGGAGGCATAGGAAAGACAATATGGAGATCTCAGATAGGAATAGTAACTGCAACACTTGGTTTAGAAGGATCTCTCTTCAGAGCAGGAAAAAACTACCTTCTTTACCCAGCACGATAGAATCGAATTCAAAATCCAGGCTTCAAGTTGGTCTTGTACCAATCTTCTCCAACTTTGGTGAGTAGGATTAAACCTCCATGATATAACTAAAATTTCATTTCAATCTCAATAAGTTAAATTAATCCTTTCAGAATATGTACTAGATAGGTTTCACTATTAATTAGTCTAGCCGCAGGCAAATTGGCTCGCACACAAATTTACTTATTTAGGATTGAGCTGTAGCTGATTAATTAAATCTACTTGAATTCAACCAAGAAACAATTTTGAAAGCAAAAGGCATACATTCCCGATGAAGCACCACTGGGAGCAGAAGCACGGAAGAGTCCTTTGTTAGTGTGCAAATCAACTTCGACGGTCGGAATCCCTCTACTATCCAATATCTGCCGGGCTTTCACCTTAGTTATCACCGATGGTACAGCTTTCCTCATGTGATTCGACTATCAAGCATAGAGATATAGTTATCGGAAACGCTATATTTGAATCAAAGCACAAAAATTTTTAAAAATGAAAAGGGTCTTACAATGAAGAGGACCGGATCGGAAGTTTTAGCTCTAACGGCAGCATTGACAGCGTCTTCGATTCTCCGAGATAGCAAGTGCTTATCCAGATATTCTTGCACCGACATTTTCTTCTTCGATTGAATTTTCAGGGAATGAAAGTGAAGATGAAATACCAATTTGGACTGAAAGATGAACTCTGCGTTTTATTTGAAGCCAATCGGAGACTGTCAACTTTGTTTAAGCTCTTTCCTTTTTCATACATTACGACGTCGTTACTGGTTACTCGGTGACGTTGGTCCCGTACGTGGTAGCGTGATGTAAAAACGGGTCAGGACTCATATTTACCCGGACCAATATTCAACCCATTTTTTATCGTTGCTAATATGGACGTGTTATAACTCAGCCCGTTTTTATTTAACCCGTTTTAAGTTTCAACCAACTTATTGGCACGTTGTATTTGTATAATTCATATTGTTTGTATAAAGTGAGAGAGATTTGATATACAAATATAAATGTTTTAACTCGATTCAATTGTATACAAATATAATTTTATGCAGATAAACAAACACACTCATTTATACATATACATAGTAGTTACATATATATAATTATCTAACTGATATACATATACAATTCACCTCTCGATCTCCACTCTCTCCCCTCTCTCGCTCGCCTCTCTCATCTCTCCCCTAATATTGCTTGCCACTCTAGCCTAACACAAATAACATATACATATACAAACGTGATTTTAGTTTCATAGACATAGATGTTCGATTTATACAAATCGTCGCGATTTATGCGAATCAAATGCTCAATAGCAAATATAGTTTGTTATAGAGCGCAAATAGCAAAACTGTAGTTATAGAGCGTTAATATGATTTTTATGTTTGCTATTCCTAATATTTACTCATATCCGTTTGATATATATCTCCGCTTCTTAGGCCCACCATAATCAACCTCTTACACATTCTCACTCGAATATTTGACCATCTTCTTTTCACATGTCTAAACATTTTAATTTCACATCTCTCATCATGTCTATTATGGGACTCACTATCATCTTGTCCAAAATATCTACCTTCCTAATTTTTCTTCCTGATAATAAAATTAGAAGTGACAGAAGAGTTATAAGTGACTTATCCTTTGTATCGCCAATGGACAAGAGGGTTTCAACAAAAGAACTTTTATGTTCAATATATTTGTGAAAATAGAAAATGGTCGAAGGAGAAATGACTAGTCTAAAACCTTTAGGATCAACTTCAACGACAAAAGATGTATGGAATGTATAAAAAAAACTAATAAAGTATGATTTGTGATTTGAGAACTAATAGACTACTAAAATATAAGTTAGTGTGTAGTCATGATTTTAAATCAACATTTAGATATGTGATTTGAGATGATGGTTTTGAATTCTCCAAAAAGTATGATTCGAATTCTCGAATTGTGATTTTAATTTATTCTTTAAAGGGAAAATGCATAAGTACCCCCAGCCTATGCCCAAAATCTCTGAGACACACCTAACCTTTACTAAGGTCCTATTACCCCCGAACTTATTTTATATATAATTTTCTATCCCTTTTCGGCCTAAGTGGCACTATCTTGTGGGCCCAACGCATATTGACAAATTTTTCAAAGATAGTGTCACGTAGGCTGAAAAGGGGTAGAAAATTAATTAAAAAATAAGTTCGGGGGGGGAGGGGGTAATAGGACCTTAGTAAAAGTTAAATGTGTCTCAGCGATTTTGAGCATAGACTAGGGGGTACTTAATGCATTTTCCCTTCTTTAAAATGCAAAACTTGACACATAATTTGTATTTTGTAAAAAAAGACTCGTCATTTTTAAATTTGGAATAAAAAACTCGAGTTTGTTGTGAAGATATTGTTCGTATTATATTAAAGAATAACTAGTTAATTTTATTGTTGATTAGTAGATATTTATAAAATTATGTGTATTCAAAAATATATAATCACAAACATTTATTTAGGGAAAATGCATAAGTACCCCCCAGCCTATACCCAAAATCCGAGAGACACACCTAACCTTTACTAAGGTCCTATTACCCCCCTGAACTTAATTTATCTATAATATTCTACCCCTTTTCGGCCTACGTGGCACTATCCTTAAAAAATTTGTCAACATGCGCTAGGCCCACAAGATAGTGCCACGTAGGCCAAAAAGGGGTAGAATATTACATATAAAATAAGTTTGGGGGGGTAATAGGACCTTAGTAAAGGTTAGGTGTGTCTCTGAGATTTCGGGCATAGGCTGGGGGGTACTTATGCATTTTTATAAAAGGAACATAAAAGATACATGTGATTTATCAAGGTGATATTGTTAGATATTCCGATATCTTGTTTATAAATTATGTTTTACAGATTTGATAAGGATTTGATAAGATTGTATAAAAATTGAGAAAATTTTGTCAGTTTTCACAATTTGTGAGATTTTCAAGTTTATAATAATAATAATATAACTTATGAAATCTAAACTGAATATCCAAATAAAATTTCAAAGTTTTATCAATCAAATTTCATATTATAATTTTATATCATGATTTCATATTACATATCGAAATAAACCGTTATTCCTATCCAAAGCATGATGTTGAAGTTGAACGAAACAAAAGGGAACAAGAAGCAAATGAGATTTTAGAGAAGTCGAATTGGTCTAATATTTGCTCGATCCGCGATTTACATAAAAAAATTAATTAGAAAATTAATTTAACACATTATATTTTAATTAGTTTACAGTAAGTGAACTTGACGCACGCTTACAAGTTACAAGACAAATTTGGACAAGATTACGTAATATGTTTGTCTATTCATAGGTTAAATTTGTAGTATGATAGTATAAAATTGCTTTTTAATTTAATTTAATTGATATATATGTTTTTCAATTTTTTTAATGTGTATAAATAAATAGTTAAATATATATAAAATTAAATAAATAGAGACACATTTCCAAATTAACTTCTTACAAATCAATTTAAGTGTATCTCACGTGAATTGTCACGTAAGATACGTGTGTGTATTTATTCTACTTTACACAAATTTAAGTACCTATATATATCCATTCAAAATTAAAGGATATAAATATTAAATATTATTTTTATATATTAGGTCTATATTTTTGAGTGACTAAATAACAAATTGTCCCAATTTGGTCAACAAAATTTAGGAAAATGACATAAAAAGGTTAAGACAGCCAAACCTATGTTGCGCTCTTGAAGCGCCAAAATTCGAAATTCAAAATTTAAATCTCGATTCAAGAGCCATATTATTTCTTTAAAAATAAACCAGAGGCACTAATTATTTTAACTTTTTTAGCCCTACATTTCTTCAATAAAGTCTCATTTTCACCTTAGGAATCTCAAAATTTTCATTTCTCTTCTCTCTTTCTAACCTTCCTCCACAAAAAACCCTCTCTGTTTCTCATTTTTCTGCTGTGAAAATGCGTGAGATTCTTCACATTCAAGGTGGCCAATGCGGTAACCAAATCGGATCCAAGTTCTGGGAAGTTGTGTGTGCGGAGCATGGGATTGATGCCACCGGAAGGTACCAGGGAGACACAGATCTACAACTTGAGAGGGTGAATGTGTATTACAATGAAGCTAGTGGTGGACGGTTTGTTCCTAGGGCTGTGCTCATGGATCTGGAACCAGGGACAATGGACAGTATTAGATCTGGGACTTATGGTCAGATCTTTCGTCCTGATAACTTTGTTTTTGGCCAATCTGGTGCTGGGAACAACTGGGCTAAGGGTCATTACACTGAGGGTGCTGAGCTGATTGATTCTGTTCTCGATGTTGTGCGTAAAGAAGCTGAAAACTGTGACTGCCTACAAGGTGTTTGTTAAATTGCTTTTATGCATCTTGATTTGTTTAGATTGTATTATTTTCTTTGCATTTCTCGCTTCTATCTGTTTTATAGATTTAAGATCTGCTGCTGAGGATTTATTACTTGTTGTTAACATGTGTACACAGTCATGTATGAATCTAACTATCTAATCCGAAGTGTTAAAACAATATGCAGCTTAGTTAAGAAGTTTTAGAAATTATTTTGCAAACCCTCACTTAATGAACTAACTAGAGATGATGTCTGTAACGCTTTGTGGCATAACAAGTCAGATCTCTTAGTTTGTTGAGGAAAGGAGGTTAAGAATGACTCAAATATCAACAGGGGAAGGCGGTGTGTGAGAGAAATATCAGAGTGGTAAAGCTGATAGCTTAATGTACTTAGAATTTTGTGAGAAAAGTACCTTAGAGACAGCAGTATAATTCAAGAAGAAGTTCATTAGAAATAGCAAAAAAATAATGGAGGAATAAAGATTGAAGGGAGAGGAGAAGATTGGTATCAGACAACAAAGCAGCTAAGCATGGTTTGGTATTATATGTAAGAACCTAGGATCCAATTTATTTAGGCTAAAACTGGAGTGGGTAAATATACTTATATTAATCAATTTGAAGATTTATGAGCAATCTTATGTTCTTTGGTGCTTACATGTGGTATTATATGCAGGGTTTCAGGTGTGCCACTCCCTGGGAGGAGGGACTGGGTCCGGAATGGGAACCCTTTTGATTTCAAAGATCAGAGAGGAGTACCCAGATAGAATGATGCTTACTTTCTCTGTTTTCCCATCTCCAAAGGTTTCAGACACTGTTGTTGAGCCTTACAATGCCACACTGTCTGTTCATCAGCTTGTGGAGAATGCAGATGAGTGTATGGTTCTTGACAATGAGGCTTTGTATGACATTTGTTTCCGTACCCTCAAGCTGACAACTCCTAGCTGTAAGTAGCCTCAATTTAATCTGAATTACACTGGCATATACTTACCTAATCATTGATTTCCTTGAGATAACTTTTAGCATCATGATAGAAGATCTGGATCTTCACTAGTATTCTCTATGTGATAATGGTCTTTATGATGGTGCAGTCAATCCTCCTCCCCCCCTCCCCATTTTAATCTGTTTTGAATTAATTTCCCCTTCTGTTCTCTTGATTAAAATTGCATTTTGAACCCAAATAGATTGTATTTCTCTCTATATAACATTAATTGTGTGTAGTTTACTAATATAGGCTCTCTTGGCAAAAAGTTGCATCTTGAATGTAGACTTGGTGGTATTTTTCACTTGTCTAAATAACAATATTATGTATAGTCAACTAATACAGCTCTAGAGGTCCTCTACAACTGGTATACCGGCCATTTGTGAGAAGCAATATTACTTATCACTTCTTAGCTTGTCCCTTTAATCTGCATAAAACCTACTTTCCTGACAGT